TTTTTTTTCTGATCGGTATCCTTACCATACAGCACCCACCCACTGATGGTGCAGTTGTGTAATAAAGTTATTGGTATTTAATCCTAAACTACGCAAGCCAATATAAATTAAGTTACAATCGGTATGATATTTCTACTACCTGAATTTAATGCAATTAAAATGTAGAGTTGCAATTTATTCACGTTTAAACTTTAGGATTTCAGTTTAATTTAAAATTATAAATGGTTTAGTGTTGGCCCATGGTAGTCAGCACATAGAGTAGGATATGTTAACTCTTTACAAAATGTGTTACATTTGTTGATCCTGAGATCCATATATCATTCTCTTATCGATTTGAATAAGTATTTATTTTATTTCAGACAGAGTGCATATAGAATAACTTACAAAAGAATAGAAGAAAAAGATATGGTGTTATAATAAAATACAGTCATAAGTTTATGCTTCAAAATCATAAAAAATCAAATTATTTCCAGTACTGCACCAACTATGACTTCCAACAACCTATGTCACTATTATATATTACAGAGACATTGTCATTAGTAGAGGTATAAACGCGTTCAATAAATAACGATACTAGCATTCTATTAGGACAATGGAATGTATGTATTTGATTAACAACACACATTGTACTGACACTGCAATAAAATGAACATCCAAAAAATTTCCTAAAAGTACTGTTATATAGGAAACCCTCGTGGCATTAATTGTTGCCTTTCGAAACCAATACCATAGTTGACAGCAATAAAAACGAGAACAGTAAGTTTTAAATAACAATTGCTTAACTTCAGTGCCACAGTTAAAGCGGGAGGGTCGTCACCTGCGCACGTGCGGGAATTAAGTCCCAAGCGACGATAACAACACACGCTAAGAACGCAAAGGCTCATGGGTAGATGCTTGTTTGTAAACAATGACACGCTATGGCCACCTGACGCATGGGCAGGTGACGACTCCCCCGCTTTAACACATTTTCACAGCAGCAGATTAGCACGAACACGAAACAAGCGTCTCTCGTGATCAACATCAATATCGTCTTTAAGAGCAGGAGAAACTGTGTCAAATAATTCAACAAATACTACTTCTATACTACATAAATAAATTGGTGGTATATTTAACTCAATTTATGACGGTTAGGAAAATACATACATTTTGTTTTCTTAGTGTCATAAATAATATGATCGTTAGCATATATAGCTCACATGTAAAATTTTGATAGAGGGGCAATAAGACATGTCTGCATAGCTAAACAGCCGAGTTGTATTTGGGGATTTGAATAATGTCCAATGGTTTACTCTTAGAAAGCCTTTGAAGCATCAAGGAAACGCACAGACATATTACTTCCCAGGGTGTTGTAATGACGAATAATTTCTTTGAGAACAAGTATACACAAATCAGTTGAGTGTTTCTCCTTAAAACCAAATTGGTTATCTAGAGTTTCAATGTAGGATTCACACCTCACCAGCAGTAGGTGCTCCAAGACTTTAGAAAACACTAATGTTATTGCTATTGGACGATAATTGTCCTGGCTGTTGACATAACCCACCTTATTCTTAATTATTGGCACTAAAATTACCTCTGTCATGCGTTGCGGAATTGTTCCATGAATCGCTGTTATACACATAGATAAGTGTACACTCAGTGTAGAGCTGGCGTATTTTTAATGCTCTGCACTGATCCCGTCGGTACCTCCCAATTTCTCAAGAGGTAGTTTCCTTTATTCATCATTAATCCAGATTATTAAGATAATCCATCACTTCTGTTTTATGTTTGTCAAACTTGAGAGAATTCAATATACCTTCAAAGTGGTCAGCCAACATATTTGCAATATTAAATTCACCTGTCACACTACCGTTATTGTGTAACTTAATTTTTTGCGTACTTATACAGTCGAAATATAGTTGAAATTCACTTGAATTTCACTTTGTGTAGTCGTTATTTAAAGATGTCTGTTTGGGGATAGCGAAGGCGTGGTAAGGTGGTAATTCCTAAACCTAATGCCAGGACACGTATTCTTTACATTTATTTATTATTTGACCAAATATTGGATCTAAAAGAGGGTTCATTCATGTATTACATATGTTGTATTTTACGTGTGTGTGTGTGTTCCAGAAATTATATTATTTCACCTGATCTGAATATATCTTTAATTCGTGTTTCAATAGATTAATAAACCAGTGAACTGTGGCAAACATAAAGCTGGATTATGTCTATATCATTTGCTACTTCTGTTCATGGCTCATTTGTTGTGATTGTCTTATTATGCGAACTCCCATGAGACAAGAAGTGGGGGGGGGGGCAATAGGTAATGAGTGATATTACTGTCACGGGTCTAATTTTAAACACAAAGGTGTTTTATAAAATAATTAGATTTTGGAATGTAGGTGATCTTAGAAGGTCCAGAAGAATGAGGCTAAGGTCCCTCAGCCAAGTTGTTTATCGTTGTCAAAATGCATCAACATTATGCAGGTTGAAAATGGTTAAGTTTATAAAAGTCGCACAACCTGGACATAATAGTTTGAGATGTTGAAATGATGACTTTATGCGACCAAAGGGCCGTTAAAAGCATGTGATTTAAAGCATGTGAAGATAATTTTAATTACACGAACACTCAACTATTGAAATTACAACAACTGGTATGTGTTGCTAGACTACAGATACCACAACGATCCAACACGCCAATTGGTAGGTGACCGCCATTGACATTCTATGAACCCCCTAAAGTTCTCTTCAATTTAAAAGGTTTAGTAGGCGCTGCTTTTAGTGTGGCTGCGTTCCTGTATAGAGTGAACATGTACCCTGTGTATCATCGGTTGGCGTATACACTAAAACACAAGCTAAACATCGTTATAGTCTACGCACAGTATCCGACTTTTACGTGCTGTGCAATGTTCTATAGTTACTACCTCATTTTAGTGGGAA